TTCCTGCTGTACAATCTATAAATTGGTTTATAGTGAGATCCATTTCTATCATGAACGTGTTTAACAGATGAAGCAAGCTGTAGCCTATGATAAAGTCGTAAATGTCATCCTATGTATGAAAACTAAACAAATAGACGTGTGCCATATCTGTATGCGTAAGTTCCCCTTCCTCCTGTATACTCAAGCAAGATAAATGTACAGTAATTTGAAATGTGGCAAAATATTGATGTCAAAATGTGATTTAGATTTTGATGTTTTGTTCGTAGCTGAGGACTTTGTTCTGAACGAATTATGTTCAGTGCTCCGTGACCCCCCCGTATCAGCTGAGCACTGAGGCAAAAATGCCTAATGTGTAGAGAAAGAGTATCCCAACAGTTAGGCACCAGAGAGAAGTATGGTAGCAGGAAATTACAACAATTGCATAGAAGTCTACTGCATAAAGATGCAGTTACTGTTTTCTTCTTTGTATTTAACACTGATTTTCTCTTTCCTTTATCTTGCTTCTTTCTTGTGGTTTTACTGGAGTGGTGCTATCAGCTGCAATGCAAATGTGAGTGAGCTAAATGTGTGAGAGGAGGTATTTGGTTCTTGAATTCTCTTTGCCTTTATTTATTTAACTATTTACCCAAAACAGTCTGATTTTTATCTTGGCACCAACAGTGCTGTAAAACAGCTCATCATATCACTGATTTAGGTAAAGTCAGATCTCTTCTTAGATGGATAGGTAGATGGATACTTTTGATTTTAAACGTGTATACATTAACACAGTAAATCCTGTGAAAGGCATATTCTTTTTTACTGTTAAATTAGAACAAAACTTAGCCTTTTGCTATTTTTTTTAGAATCGGGTCATTCATGGCACAACACATTCTAGAAGTAGATAAAAGAACATTTATATGTTAAATAAATAAGTTATTCCATCCCATTATTTCCAACATGTAATGAACTGAATTTTAGAACAAGACCTGATAAAGGTTGAGTGCAAATAATGAGCAAAATTACCCTGAGATTTTCCTGGTATTTCTGGTAGCAAATACTGCAAAATGCATGGGAAAATCATCAGTGGCAAGAACTGATCATCAGTGGCTTTACTTAGCTCCAGCTGCCTATGGCAGCCTACAGCCAGATATCTGCTTGTTATCTGCCAATCCCCATTGACTTTGTGATGTTAAAGCCTGCCTGAATGAAGAGATGAATAATCTCAGACCTCTAAGTGAAATGGAAGACATGGGGGGGGTCTGGGGGGGTGGGAAGTCAAATTAGCAAAGGTGATTGATGAAGGAAGAGAAATTTCACCAAGAGAGCCATTCAAATGGTTTGTAACCTGAGAATTTAGCTGTAGCAGAGTGAGCTGCTCAGGTCATCCTCTTGTAGCAGGAGACTGAGCCAGCAGTCCTGCCTGCCAGACCAGTGGGGTGCACCCACTCTGCACCCTGGATCACAGAAGGCAAGGATCCTGGGGAGGTTTAGAGCAGCATAATGGAGAGGAAAAATCAGTGTTATTTTAGAGTTGAGAATAGGTGTCTTGGGCCGAAGACACAGCTGATTCATTGGTAACAACTGGGGTAAAATTTGGGAAGGGTTCTTGAAAGGAGTTAAAAGTTTTCAGAGCCCTGTGTCAAGCGTGAATTCTTTCTGAGCAATTACCTAAGATTTCAGGTGATCAGAGAGTGTTGGGTTGCACCCAAATGCCAAAAACCTTTGGAAAGGAGAGTAAGATACATTAAAGAGAAGGGCTAGATTAATTCTGGTATTAAATGCAAAGGCTGGAGTTGAGGATGCAATGGGCATATATAATTGAGATATGGGGGGAATCTCAGGGGGGCCTACAAGAAAGCTGGGGAGGGACTTTTTAGGATCTCAAGTAACAACAGAACTAGAGGGAATGGGGCAAAGCTGGAAGTGGGCAGATTCAGGCTGGATGTGAGGAAGAAGTTCTTCCCCATGAGAGTGGTGAGACCCTGGAATGGGTTGCCCAGGGAGGTGGTTGAGGCCCCATCCCTGGGGGTCTTTAAGGCCAGGCTGGATGAGGCTCTGGGCAGCCTGATCGAGTGGGAGGTGTCCCTGCTCATGGCAGAGGGGTTGGAACTGGGTGATCCTTGTGGTCCCTTCCAACCCTGACAGATTCTGATCTGTTTAGGCAGAGGACTTTGGAGCCCTGGTGGCTCGGTGGTTGGACTTGATGATCTTGGAGGTCCCTTCCAACCTAAATGATTCTATGATTCTATAAGAATCCCTCCTGCTGCTGTGTGGCCTCTCCTCACATTTCTACTATGAAACTGTTATATAATGGGGACATTTTGGATGCTGTGATTTGCTCTGCTTTTGAAGTGCTAGGTTTTATTTGTATTGGTTTTATTCTTAAAAAGATTGAACGATCGTTCAGTTAAGTGAAACTATGTTGAATAAAGTGTTGTTCACTTTCACTTGGCAACTGTCAGATATCCTGTGTCAAAATCCTCACAGATTTTTTCTTTTGTCTACATATGAACTGTATATAAATAACGTAGCAGTATTTCACTTCCTAAAAATGTCTGCCTCACAGGACTAGGAATAGCTCTGTGTTCTCAGGAGAGTTAATGATTTTGCACCAAGAACAAGTTTTAGTATTTAGCATTTGACTGTTAGTTTCCATCTTTTTCAATTAAAAAATAGACTTGAAAAAGATGTTGTATACCTTGTGAAGTCACTAATACTCCACTGTGCTGCCAGCAGATGTTGATGAATGCACATCAAACCCATGCTCTAATGGAGACTGTGTCAACACACCTGGTTCCTATTACTGCAAGTGCCACACAGGTTTCCAGAGAACTCCAACCAAACAAGCTTGCATTGGTAAGAAAATTTTGTTCACATTTATGACACTGCAGATGTTCTAACCTCTTTTGTCAGATCCCACTGGAGTTCAAAAAATAGTTCACAATGCAATTTCAGTAAATTCCAACAGCTGTTATATTAATTTGAGCTCTAGCTCTGAGTTCCATTCTATTTGTTCTTGTTTTGTCTTTTAATGTTTGTCCAATATTCTGGGGTATCTGTCACTTGGCGAGGGAGCTCACCAGCTGGGAGTTCTGCAAAAAAAACCGAGAAAGTGGTCTATTAGTATGACAGGTGTATATTTATGGCTGTATGCAGATGTGTGAGTAGGTTTTTAAAGGTATTCATAAAGTAATTGTTGAGCAGAATAAAATGTAGAATTTATTGCACAATTCTGTAAAATAATATTTTTCCTACGTCAGATGCAATGATAAAAAATTCTAAACCATCTTTGGAAATTTTTTACAAAGTAATGTTTAAATAGCATGCTGGTATTTTTCAAAGCAAGAGTTGTCACTATATAAATTTTTATCTTAACATTAATTCTCTGGTTGTGTGATTCTTTTTTTTTTTCCCTTAGATGTAGATGAGTGCATCCAGAATGGTGTTCTTTGTAAAAATGGTCGGTGTGTAAACACTGACGGAAGTTTCCAATGTATTTGCAATGCTGGGTTTGAACTGACTGCAGATGGAAAAAATTGTGTGGGTAAGAATTCTTCCAAATAATGAGGCAGGTATTAGATTGATGATTCTAGAAATTATATTCCATACTACACCTAAGGATCATTAAGGATACCTTTTTTGAAACAGCATACTACCTGAGGTGAACTTACCGACTCTGTGTGGAAATTGTTACTGTATAGCACTACATGATTTTGAAGAAAACTTGAGGTAATTTTTGGTTTTGAAGCTACGTCTCTTCACAAGAGTTCCAGGAATAACAGTGCCAGGAATAACATTTTTCCCTAAAGCTTCATAATAAGTGCTTCATATAACGGCTCTGCTGAAGAAATAACTTTTAAAATTTTTGACTATGGTGTGTCACAAAAGCTTCCTAGGTGAACAACAAGCTTCTTATTCCATGAGGTGGTTGAAACTTGTCATTTCCTGTAAGAAAGATAGACACACCCTGTTCTTCCACATACAGTGTGCTGAAACACACAAAGTAACTGATCCCAGCAGGAAAAAAATTGCTGCTTTGTCTATAGGGTGAAAACTCTTCAGGTCCTTCCTCAGACTTATGAGTAGAACTTAACCTTCAAGTGAAGCAATATGTCACATCAGTCCTGACCATTTATTTTTACTGTGTCATCTTCTGGAAGGTGAGGAACTGTAAGCAGTTTTCTTTGCAATATTTTGCAGACCATGATGAGTGTACCACTACAAACATGTGTTTAAATGGAATGTGTATAAATGAAGATGGGAGTTTTAAATGCATCTGCAAACCCGGATTTGTTCTGGCCTCAAATGGTCGTTACTGTACCGGTATGTAGAACTGGGAGGTAATGCATTAAGGCAGTCTTGATTGAAGATTGCTCTTCCTGTCAATTTATTCATGCAAGAATGGTAATCTTGTGACATGGATTTAATATCATACTAACACCTTACTAACTCATTACAGTAGATTTCTTAAGCTGTATTACTTAAGTTGTACTTTGGAAAGTCTTGGAGCATTGTCAATGCAGCAAAATATGTAGACCCTTCATGAAATGACAAAGTGAGTAGCAATATATGAAGTTTAAAAGGTTTGAAAGATTTTTCATTGATCAACACACACAACTATGTTTTCCACATCATTATTCTGCCAGTTGTCTGGTGTCAGAGTGTCTATCACTTAAGATACTGTATTTGCCACATAGCATTGCAAGCTTTTTAAAGTGAGGTCATTGAAAACTTATGTTAAACTTTTTAGGAATAGAGTCTGATTTAGCTTCCATTAAAGTTAACTAGTGGAAGATAACTGTCGCTGCCAGCAGAAGTAGGTTTGGTCTTGAATAATTTCTAGTAACTAAAATCATCTAAATCCTTGGTTTTCTGATTTAAAGTTGAACCATTTCTCTAAGTTGTGGTTTTGTTCATTTAAATGCAGCTGGCACTTAAAAATTGAAGAACAATGAAAAGTTCTTAAGAATTAAAATTTACCATCATATGGCTATTCTGTGATGAGTGCTTCCTTAACCACACTTTCAAAGTTCCACTGTCATGACATGGACAAAGGGGAACACTTGTAATTAATTTCACTTAATGTAGAGTCTAAAGTGCCTCTAATCCTACAGTTTTTCTGACTTTTTGGGGAGGTTATTTTTTAATGTGGAGCTAGAATTTTGATTATTTAGTGTCACCTCAAGATGACATTTTTATTGGAAAAAAAACAAGGAAATGTTGATGATTCATCTGCAATCCTAAAGTCATTTGTTAATATTATAAAAAGATTAATTGTAATCTTGTTTATGAACAGCAAATACATTGTTGAATTTTGTTGCCTCCTGATAGATATTGATGAATGTCAGACATCAGGAATTTGCATGAACGGACATTGCATAAATTCCGAAGGATCCTTTCGGTGTGAGTGCCCACCTGGCCTGGCTGTTGGAGTCGATGGTCGTGTATGTGTAGGTAGGTGACTTTTTTTTTTTTCCTTTTCGTTGAAAAGCAAGTGGAATTACCAGGTTGTCAAATTAAAGAAATGCATCAAATTATATCCTTCTAGATAATGTTGACATCAAAGCAGAGAGTGTCTGTTCTAGGATATTCATATTTGTATTTAGTTGTGCCTTATCTACTCCAAATCACTCCCCTTTTAATTTCCTTCTTTAATTTGAAAATTATTCTGACTGTACAACAGTGTTTAAAAAAGAAAAAAAATAGCAAGAGAAATAGTGAAAAGTTGAAAGATTTGTTTCTGTGAACTCAAATACCATTGTTAAGACTTACTAGGAAATCTTGCATTATGCTATCACAAAAAAAAATTGTGTGAAAAGACAAGAAGCTTAAACTGAATGGCATCTGTGGAATCTGAATGGCATCACTTCTTGTTCAGCTGTTACTCCTATAAATAAAACTTCCTATATGTACTCTTCCTGGCATATCTTATTTTTTGAGGCATGCCCTTTTTAGCCTGCTGATGAATGATCTTTTGTCATACAATCAGACCTGCAGCCTCTTACCCAGTCAAATGTTACTGGTTGACCGTTAAGAGATTCTTCACCCAACTCCACCAGGAGCTGTTGCACAGCTTCATGGAGCTCACTGGAGAAAAAAATGGAGCATTTTCAATCTGATGAAGAATAAAAAAGGGTAGAGGACAAGATATATTCAGTCCCTTGTTTTCTGCAGATTGCTAATGGATGAAGAGGGTGAAGGGGAATATATATTTTACAAAAATTTCTGAGAGTGATGAGACTATATCCACTACGAATGGCAATATTGTCAAGTTCCTTAAAACCAAACTACAGAAGATACCATCTTTCATTACATTTGTGTATCAGGACGTCAGTTTTGTATCCCATAAGTTTCTTCACTCCTTCATGAATGTACCTATCATCAGGCGTATTTGTGACCCAAGGCTCAGTTAGTGGATGAGCATGGCATTAAGTTTTGTCAGCCAAACGGGCCTGGAATGGGGCTTCCTTGATTGACAGATGCACTGCTGTCAGCATCATATCATATGAGCTTCAGTTTTGGTACTTGGCCTTGTGTCCTAGATGGTGCTGGTTACCAGACTGCCATTGAAACTGGTATTAGATGAGGTCAGCTGGTTATGTCATGATGTTTGACAGGTTCATAAGGCAGTAAAGGCAGAAGGGAAATCATTGACTTAGCTCTGCAACAGGCGTAGATAATAATTAGTGCTATGACTGTTCTTGCTGATGGATGCATGTGTGTCTTATCTGCCTATGTATTGTATGCGTGTGTCCAGGTAAAGGAAAGACAGAATTCATCACAGTATTTGGAGGTTGTCTCGCAGGAAAGGACTGTGAGATCCTACATCCTTGTGCTGCTACTATCAATTTATTTAAAATAAAATTTCAAATTTTGCAGAATTTCATCATGCTTTAAAATAAACTCTAGTGCAATCTTTCCTGCCAAATGTCTGTGCAACCTGATCCTTTTACTACTTCAGTTTAAAAAATGCACTCAGAATGGCTTAAAAAATAGGCTAATAAAAAGGAAAAAAAAAACAAAAAACAAAAAACCTCTCAGTCTGTCAGTTGGACGCAAAATGTTTGTTGTTGTAGAGAAATTAGTTTTTGTAGTAGAGCAAAACTGTACTAAAAACTGAACCAACAAAAGCAAGGTTTGTCCTCTCCTATGTAGTAGCCAAGTTATTGTCTTCCGATTTATGAAATGCCTGAAGATAAGCAATGAAAAGATAAAACAATGTGTAAAGGCTTGGTATACTGTTTTTAATGTAGGAGTTTCACTGTTTACCAGCAGCAAAAACAGATTCGAGTACAAGCTATTCAGTACCTTTTTTGTGGTCCAGGTTAGCCTCATCTTTACTCATCAGTGATACAGCTGCAAAGAATCAAAGCAGTGCTCAATTCTCTGTACTTTATTTAAAGCCTCCACAGCATCTAGCAGCTAAAGGCTTCACAAGTTGGTCATTAGTGAACACTATTTTTTCATTTAAAACTTCTCAGGTCCACATGTCACATAGCTTTAAAGTTTACCATAAATGCTTGAATTTTCCAAAGGAAATACCCTTACTATGACAAAAATTGTAAGGCAGAGTCATGATTTATTTGGAAAATGAATTTTATAAAGAAGATATAATTATTCCAGTCATAAAGTAACATAGGAAATTTCAAATATAGTGTAACAAAAACATCCTTATACATGACGTTTAGCTAAAATTTGTGAGTTCAGAATTTTGCATGTATGTGTATGTATATCTTTATGCATACATACACATGATGTGTTAAGTACAGGATTTCTCTGTCTGACTTCTGTCCCATATAGTACGTGAGATGATTAATATTTTTCAGACATTCTGGCTGCTAGAACAGTATTTGTAGTGTGACAGTTAATAGGTTACATGAGGCTTACTTTTAACAGTATCCTCATTTGTACTAAGCAGTTAGCAAAAATACAACATCAAAGTGCCTACAGCCCAATTCTCTCTCTGAGCTGTATTTTACTTCTGAATTCTGCCATTGGTTCTGGGGAAAGCAATTTATTATTCACAGAATAAACTGCTTTTTTATTTGGTATTAATAAGTGAGGCAGAGTCAATCACTAAATGTTACACAAGTTTGGGAAAAAAATACAGCAAGGAGGAACAAATGCTTGGAAAAAGAACAGTTAGATAAATACTCAGAGCCAAACTGGTATTTGCTGGCATTTCAGGTTTGGCTGTGCTTCTAACCACAGCTCCATGCTTGGATACCTCAGCTGGCTCTGTCTGCATGTCTGTGTATCACCTCGGAATTTGTACCGAGCTGTGTACTGCACAATGTTGTTTTCTCTCTGCTGAGACACTTAATTATAATTCAGTTTACAGTTCACATCTCTGCCCAAAGCTACTAGGAGGTTCAAGGTGAATATCAGGAAAAATTTTTTTACTGTGAGGGTGACGGAGCACTGGAACAGGCTGCCCAGAGAGGCTGTGGAGTCTCCTGCACTGGAGTCATTCAAAACCCGCCTGGACACCTTCCTGTGTGATGTACTCTAGGTGACCCTGCTCTGGCAGGGGGGTTGGACTAGATGATCTTTCGAGGTCCCTTCCAACCCCTATGATTCTATGATTCTATGATCCAGGACAAAACAGCTAAGTTTTCTTCTGCTGTGGTTATTTTGCAGAACTATACCTCAAAGTGCCTGTTGTGAGCATTGAAAGATCTGACCTTTTAAGGCACCTGGATGGGTGCAGCGACTTTCACTAAGGTTAGGTAAACCACTGGACTACCCAACCTTGACCACAAGTATGGTGGTGGTAACATTTGCAGATGTTGGAGTGCTACATCATGAAAGCTGAGAGTCTAGAAATACTGTT